GCAACGTAACAGCAGCGTCAGAACAACGTTACAGCAACGTTACAGCAACATCAGCCTAAAAAATGTCCAGTTTGAAAAGTGGAGCCAGAGGACGATGTTTCCTTCACAGATTGATTCATTTTAATGGATTTTAAAGGAAAGAACAAATAAAACTGCAGCTTTTAGTTCTAATTAGAATGTTTGACAACAGTTTCATCACAAATGGCGGCTGAGCTTCGTTTGATGGTCACTAAAGGGAAAAGGTGGAAAGTATCAGAGAGCAGATTAAAGCTTTAAAGCTGCCGGCTGCACTCAGAGAGAAGCTGAAGTGAGTGTTCTGGAGACTGAAAGTGAAAACGGCCGGTCTGGAGGTGTGGCTTTGCTCTGAAGAGGCTTATTTATGGTCCAGACGGTGGTGAAGCTCACCTGTTGTAGATGTGCAGCACCCAGTTGAGCACAGCAAAGATTTCGCCGCTCTCCAGGTCCCAGCTGCTCACCTGCAGCACAGACATCATGCAGACGTGCGTTACAAGGCAGCTATAGGCTCAGAAAGTCAGCCAGAGTCACGACACACGGACAAACTCCAGCATGTAGGAGGTGACGCTCCGGCTGCATGGACACAAGGGTCGCTCAGAGAAGATTAGCAGATGAAATACTGGAGAAATAAAAGGTCGTCAGCTGCATTTAAACGAGGTTTCCACCTTCATTAAGGATGAAAGTCCACGTGCTGACTGGAGTGTGATTCTTAATGTAAATGTCACACAAACAGTTTGAAAGCACAGAAATAAAGACCCTTAAAGACACTCATATTCTCTTAGATTGAAGCGGAAATGAAGAGAAAAAACACAACTTTAAGGGCAAAAAACATGAATATTCTCCCAGATTAACGTGGAAAATGTTTAAGACAAAAACTCAAATTTAAAAAACGAGATTCAAGCTGAAAATGTGAAGTTAAAAACTAATATAAGAGTAGAAATCATGAATATTAACACATTAAAATGAGACATTTATATAAAAAACTTAAGTACAAAAATTGTATATTTTCTGACACTGAAATGGAAAATAGTAGTAAAATAAAAAATGTGAATATTCTCTAAGATTAAAGTCAAAAGTTCACGAGAAAACCCCACAAATTTATGAGCACAAATCAATAATATTCTCTGTGATTAAAGCGGAAAAATTAAGAGAAAAAAGTCAAATTTAAGGGCAAAAATATTCTCTGAGATTTAAAGTAAAATCTCATAAATGTAAAAACAAAAACTGAATATTTACTGAGACCAAAGTGAAACATTTATGAGAAAAATGCACAAATCTATGAGAACATCCACTGAAATGAATCAATTTAAGGTAAAAACTCATAAATTCATTAATATTCTCTGAGATTAACGAGATAAACTCAGAACAGTTTTACGAGGAAACAGCAGAACATCAGGACGTTTCTGCCTTTAAACTACGTTCTGTTGTTGCTCCCTTCAGTTAGAACACTTTTGTTTTTGCCGCTGACACAACGGAGACAGATGATCGGCTTTACCTGCGCCAGGTGAGCGTGCAGGCAGCGGTGACTGGCCCTCAGGTAGGCCGCCGTCAGCTGGTAGTGCGCCGGGACGCAGTGCTCCAGCAGGTGGCGCACGGTGGCCAGGTCGGCCATGATGCCGTGCTGCAGCGCCGACAGATGGCCCGCCAGGCCCGGGCCTCGGGTGTGCAGGTAGGACACGCTGCGGAACCGGGCCGACACCGCCTCCTCTAGTACCTGGACAGGAGGAAGCACTGCAGGAGTGAGACGGAGTTCTGTTGACTGCAGAGAACGATTCTGAGGCCGGACGGGGTCCACTGGATGGAACAGAACCAGTTTATGAGGTCAGACGTCCCTCTGGGGTGGACCGGCCTCAGTCTGACGGGTTTATGTGAACAACACCTGACACAGTGGAGCCGCAGTTTATGGAAGGACCCAGAAGACCTGATCAGAACCGATCAGAACCGACCAGAAGACCTGACAGCGAGCACTCCAGCTGTGTCCTCGTAGATTTATCTCTTTCATCTGAACATTCAGGATTTCTGCCTTAAATCTGTCTTTTTCTCCTGAACGTTCAGCTTCCTGTCAGAGAATCTTCTTTCCTTTTGCTCCTTGGTTCTCATTTAAACTCGGAGGATTCATGTTCGGTTTCTGGTTTTTGTTTTTAAATTTTAACTTCACTCTCAGACCAGATTATTTTTTCATCTTAAATTTGTGAGTTTTTCTCACAAATGTTCAAGTTTTTTTAATTTAATCTTAATAAATGTTAAAGATTGTTGCCTCAGATTCAGGTTTGCATCGTTCTAAATGTTTAGTCTGAAGGTCTCGACTTCAACCTGCTGTCACACAAACATCTTCAGAACGTCATATTTTCTGCTACAGAGGAGAAGCTGAGACGGTTGAGCAGAAACCGCTCCAGAAATGTGTTGATCAGTTGGTTCTGTTCCATCCCTGTGATCTGTTGGCTCTGAGTGTCTGAACCGGGCTTTGTGTCGGCGGTTCTGACCTGGAAGAAGCTCGCCCTCCAGCAGCGCGGCCGTCCAGGAGGCAGCGGCCGGCCGGCGGCTCCTCCTCGGTCCTGCTGCAGGGCTCGGTCCAGAGCCTCCTCCCGCTCCACGATCCTCACGGCCGACACGAACGGCGTCGGGTTCTGCCGGGCCAAAGCCAGAGCGCTGCTCACCACGGCCCACAGCTCCTTGGCTGCAGGGACGAGATGATCCGGGTCACTGAGGAACCTCTCAGAGGTTTACATTCTCATAAATGTTCCAGTTTTACTGCAGAGTTCAGTCACTTAGCTGATGGTAGATTTGTGTTTTTTTTACTTTAATCTCAGTAAACATTCATATTTTTCTCATAATTTTGTATATTTCAACAATATTTGTATCTTTTGCTCCTAAATTTGTGAATTTTTATTTTAGACCTTTTTCACATTAATCTCAGAGAACATTCATGTTTTTTTTGCTTTAATGACTTTTTTTTAGCTCCATTTTTCTATTTTGTTCTCAGGAATATTTAAGTTCTTCTGCTGATAAATTTTTTTGTTCTTAGAATTTTTCCCTTTAATCTCAGTAAACATTCACAGTTCTTGTTCTTCATTTTGTCAGGTTTTACGTCAACCTTCCACTTTAATCTGTAATATTTACGGTTCTTTTGGTTTCAAGTGTGTGAGTTTTTCTCATCAGGTTTCCAATTTAAAATCAGTTATTTGCTCTTAAATTTTCCACTTCAATCTCTGACAGCATTTTTTTTCTCTTATATTTGTGAGTTTTCTCATAAATGTTCCGCTTCAGCCTCAGTAAAAATTCATGACTTTTGCTCATAAATATGAGTTTTTACTTCAGATTTTTATGAATATTTGTGTTTTTTTGCTCCTGAATTTGTGAATTTTTATTTTAGACATTTTTCTTATCAATCTACGTGAATATTCGTGTTGTTTTGCTCCTTAATGACTCTTTTGTGCTTAATTTTTCTATTTTATTCTCAGGAGTATTCATGTTTTTCTGCTATTAAATTAGTTTTTTGTTTTTTTTCTTAGATTAAAAAAAAAAAAATTAATCTCAGTAAATATCTAAAAGTTTTTATTTCAGATTTTCCACTTCAGTCTGGGAGAACATTCATGACCCAGTTCTACCGTCATTAATCCTAAAAGCAGATAAACCGTCTCCGGTGTTTAACTCTGACCAGCCAGCCTCAGACGTCCTGTCCTCGCCCCTGAACTCACCCAGAGCCTCCACCAGCTGCCCCACTCCAGAGAAGTACTGGTCCACCAGCTGCCGGTCCTCTGGGCTCAGCGAGCTTCCTGCCGACCCGGCGGCTCCGTGGAGCTGCCACAGGATGTCGTCCTGCCAGCGCTCCAGGTCCATGAGGCGGGCGTGGGCCTCCAGGAGCCGCCGGGACTCCACCAGACGCTCCGTCTCCAGAACCATGCCGCGGACTGCAGAGGAGGAAGCAGGCCGGAGAAGTCTTATTACTGAACCGTCAGCTGTTTGTACCGCGGCTTGTTGCTGCTGCTGTTAGGGAGAGAAGCTTCCTACAACGGTGGAGTTCAGCTTTCAGCTCTAAACACAGAGAACGTGGTTAATGTCACCGTGAACCACGGAGCTGCTGCCACCTCCTTCAGGAAGAAAACTCTCTCTGCATCTGTGACTGACAGACTGTACGGTGGTCCTCAGATGTGTTCACAGCCTCCCACTAAACAAGGAAAACAACAGCGTCAGTCACTGAAATGAGTTGAAAGTGAAACTCACCAGAGTAGAGTCGTGGCAGGTTGCTGACGGCGGCCACCAGCTGCCGGTGCTGGACCGACACCTCCCTCAGCCTCTCCAGAGATTTCACTCCCTCCGAGTTCCGGTCCGACTCCAGCCCGGCTTTCTTCAGGGCCTGGGACACCTGGCTGAGCTCGACCCGGGCCTCGCGGAGCTGCTCCAGGCCCCAGCCGACGCCCTCCAGGTAGGACTGCACCATGGACTGGAGACACAGGAGGGTTCATGAAGCACCGACTCACAGCAGCTCGGAGGCCTCGTTAGCAGTGTTCAGTGGGTTTGCTCGCTGTCCTGTGCTTCTAGAGGTCACGGCCATTTTCAGCCACTTCCTGTCTTATTTTGAAATTGCAAATTTGTGCATAATAAATAAATAATTACACTAATTTTCAACCAGAAGCTGAAACTAACCCTAACTTTGTGACTGTCCTTAGAAGTGATTATGTGTGGTTCCATCAGAGACATTTAACCCAACCCCCCCCATCCATCCATCATCTCTACACCTTCATCCTCACTATGGGGGGCGGAGCCTATCCCAGCTGCCTCAGGGTGAAGGCAGGTTCACCTGGACAGGTAACCAGTCTATCACAGGGCTACACTTAGAGACAGACAACCAAGCACACTCACATTCACACCTACGGACAATTTACAATCACCAATTAACCTCAGCATGTTTCTGGACTGTGGGAGGAAGCCGGAGAACCCGGAGAGAACCCACGCTGCACGGGGAGAACATGGAGACTCCACACAGAAAGATCCCGGGTGTCCTCACCGGGACGCCAACCGGCGACCTTCTAGCTGTGATGCTAACGATGCTAACCACTGACCCCCTCTTCTTTAAAATCACATCTCTTGTAAAAATTCACCAGAAATCGATCAGATTCGGTATAAAACTAAAAACTTTGCGCTCCTCGATGCAGCTGACGAACCACGAGTGATTCAGGTGTGAAGAACAGTCGTGGGACAGAAACGTTTTTTTCTGACCAGCCACCATCTCACATGAAAGTTTACCCAGAATGCACTTTGCAGAGTTTCCTCTGGTGACTGATCAGAACCACATTTCTGTAGTTTTGTTGAATTCCTTCTTTATTCATCCATCAGCTGCCTTTCGTCTGTTCACTGGGTCAGAAACGGACCCTAACATAGAACCTAACTGAACCAAAGAGTCGTCACCTTGAGCCTGGTGTGGATGGAGGCCGTCCTCTGGCTCTCCCTCTTCCGGTACTGGCTCAGCCTCTCCAGGTGCTCGGGCCGACAGAAAACGCCCGACGCCCACTTCAGGGCGGCGCCTCGGGCCAGACGCTCGGCCCGCTCCACCTCCGGCCAAACCTCCGCCGCCGGCGCTGGACCTGAGGAGATAAACGGAGCCAGCAGGAGGCAGGAGGTCACTGTGAGGAGCAGCTCTGAGGCTCTTTAACGGTCAGAAACATACACGGATCTCTGACCGAACCGCTGTTGCTTTGTGGGTAATGTAGGCGTCATGTTTTAACACTGGATGCAAACGATGACGTCTCCAGTTCTCCTGAATCAACGTGCAGAATTTTTAAAGCTCTGATGTGCAGATTTTATCTGAGCAGACTGCAGCATCTTTAAAACACTTCTGCTGGTTCATGTAACAAAGTCTGGCTTTAAACTGAAGAATTAAAGACAACAGCGGTTCTGGGAAACTTAAAATGAGACCTGTGATGTTAAATGACAGTGAAAGCTTAAAGACATCAATTAAGCTGAACTAAACCTCAGTAAAAAACAATCACAGCTGAAGTTTGTCAGGTTTTCTGTATGTGAATAAGTTGGATATTTACAGTGTAGACGGTTGGACTTATCAAATGCAGGAAGATGCCCGAGCTTTTCAAAATAAGGTGCCCCTAACTAACTGCCTCGCTGTGATTGATCTTGGTTCCTGCTGTGAAAAACTCTGTTATGTTCATTTTTTTCCACCTGGTTTGTCTTTTTTGTTTTGGCGAACAGAAGACTTTTATTTTGAAGCAGCAGCAGAGTTATCCTCAGCTTTCCCTTAAACCTGATTAGGACGCGATGAAACACGGAACACAACTTAAAGTGGAAACCAGCCGAGGAGCTTCATCATATTAGATGACAAATTGGATTTTGGAGGAATGTGTTGTGCGACCGGCCCCCAGACGCTGTGATTATCCCAACGCTCCACCAAATTAACTCCAACTCCGTCACCAGAGTCATTACTTCTGTCGCCACAGCGGCTCCGTATTCTGTCAGCAGTGATTCATGCTCCTCCTTTAAATCTGCTTTCATTGTGCAAACTCAACATAAAGTGCATTCGGATTTTTCTGCAGCTTCCACTAAGTTTTTATGAAATTTCACGGCTCGGTGTTGTTCAGTCCAGATCAAAATCATAGAGAATGTATAAGAAACCTGATAAAGTGACCAGATCCTGAGCTCATAATTACTGCAAACACGACATCACCATGACGAGATAATTGGACGGGAATTTGTCCACAGCAGAGTTTGAGCCACTTTTGGTTAATTTGGTGGAAAAATGTGATTTGGGAGGCTTGTGAAAGTCCAGACCATGAGGGGAAAAGCTGGAGGTTAAACTGTAAAGGAGGAAAAGCAGGAAGCAGCTTTAGCGCTGAAGATGGAGCTGAAGCTCAGTCAGATCGGATTCGGTTTGATTTACACTCTGAAACTATAACATTCTCTGAAACCTGCTGCAAATAAACCTTCATCTCACCTCCTTAAAAATCCTGAATAAAAACAAAAGTCAAGATGCTGCAGAACCCGAGAATCATCAGCGTTTAGCTAACAGCTAATGGTGCACAGCTAACGGCTAACAGCTAAAAGTGCAAAGCTAACGGCTAACAGCTAACGACTAACAGCTAAAAGTGCACAGCTAACGGCTAACAGCTAATGGTGCACAGCTAACGGCTAACAGCTCACGACTAACAGCTAAAAGTGCACAGCTAACGGCTAAAAGCTAAAAGTGCAAAGCTAACGGCTAACAGCTCACGACTAACAGCTAATGGTGCACAGCTAACGGCTAACAGCTAATGGTGCACAGCTAACGGCTAACGAGCTAATTCTGCATATTCACGTTTATTCAGTGAATACATGCCAACATCATACTTATGTAAAAGGGACAGTGCACATTAATGAACAAATGTAAAACGTACATAGCCATTAGCATCAATGCTAATTAGCATTGCTGCCCCTTGGTGGGTCACAGACTGAGTTTTTATTGTTATTGTCTTTTAAAAACATGCTGACTGTCCAAAGTAACCCAGCGAGGCTAACAGACCTTCTCGTGTTGTTTAAATTACCCCTGAGTGATGAACACATGAGAGATTAAAGCCCGACAGACGTCTAATAATCCTGCTTTGCTGTAACTGAGGAGGCGACCCGACGGCGCTCAGAGACACTTAGATTTAACTGAGATGATGAATATTTGTGTTGCACAGTCCGGATGCCAAAACGCTTCAGTGGGTTTTAATCTGATGTTTAAAAATGAATCATATTATTAATCATGTCTTTATATACTTATACTGATCGATTTATTATGTAAATTTGACGCAGCTCGCCCAGTAAACTAGTGCTGAATTTAAAAAAAAGGAAAATAAATCAGCTTAATGTTGTTTTTCTTGCAGATTGTGATTATTTAGGTCGTGCTACACCGCTAGCTTTCACACCTGTGCTTGGTTACAGCTTGTTGCTAAGCCTTGGGCTGCGTGATGTAGAGGTGAGAATAAACATCTAAAATTCAAGAACCCAAAACAGGTGGAGCCTCCTTCTGCTGGAGCTTTTAGGATTAAATCAGGTGACAGGTGACGGTGGACAACCACAGCTGCTCATTAAAACACAGTAAAGCAGAATGAGGTGTCATAATTGGAAGGAAATTCAAAACCTGCTGAGATTAGATCGTCTAATCTGTGTACTGGTTCACTTTCTCTAATGTATGATTGTTAATTCTGGACGTGAGAGTCTGTGTAAACATCTATTCTTTGTATTTTAACCTGTATTTTAGTAATGGCTGAAAAATGTGTTCTTTGCTTACTGTCATGCTCACAGGAGGCCCAGAGGCTCTGCTCTCATCGGCCCTTTATGAATAAAAACGACCAGATGAAGCTTCACGTTCCTGCCTCTACCACCTGCATTCAGCCGTTTGCTCAGCTGGATTCTCTGCACAGCTCCAGCGTTTCTGTGTTTCTACAGCTCTGTTGTGAGCAGGTAAGCAGGAAACCGTCGGTCACCGTGAGTCAGCAGCATCGCGGCCACATGACGCCGCCTCCGCCTGCATCGGGCGTCTTAATTGGACTTAAGTGAATAATGTGCAGGCCGGTGACTCAGCGGGGAGCGATGTGCTGGTCGGCAGGACGTCGGGGTTTGAGGCGCAGAGGAGATTATGATGAGAATGAAAGTTCAGCCTGTTGGTGGAGGATCTGCTCAGCCACACAAACAGGACCGGTTCTGTTCAGCAGCAGCAGGTCATGAGACCCACTGGGTCTGAGACGATAAAGTGTCCTGAACCCAAACAGCACTCTACTGTTCCTATCTGCATCTCGTCATTTGTCAACGGAAACGAGCGATCCTGCTGTAATCTGATTACATCTCGTGTCTTATTGAACTAGTAAATATTAAACCGTTGATCCTGATTCTCTGCTCACATAAAATAAAGATGAACAGTCTGATGGCTGCTGGAAAAACAGCAGACACCTGCATCTAAATCTATCGACAAGCTAACGAGCTAAAGCTGCAACCGAAGCTCGTTAACGCTACTGATCGATCAACCAATCAGGTGTCAGAAAGTAGTCGATGTCTGAAGCTCAGCTATCTGCTAACGAACAACCGCGTGACGATGAAAAGCAGCAGACGGTCACATGCTGACTGAATCCAGCATCAGAATAGTTCTCATTTTTTATCCACCTTCCAGAATGACTGAGGTGTTTTTATGCATCTTCAGGATCTGTCCACGGGAATTTATACTTTTAAAAGCTGCTGAGTTCAGCACAGCGCCCTCTAAAGGCCAGAGAGAGACATTTACAGGGATCATTTTAGCAGTAAATTTAGTGTCTTCTCTTAAAAGAAGTCTCACGTTCCCTCATTAACTTCTGAGTTGCCTTAAAATAAGGTCCGAGTTCCTCTTTTGCAACAACTGACGTGTTTCTTTCCAGTAACGTCGTCAGATATCAGCGTTGAAAAACAAATGAATCCAGCCTCACATCGTCTCTGTAACGTCTGGAGAACGTTTCTCTAAACGCGTCACTGCTGGACCAACACTTGTTCTGTTTTGATGAATCAGGAGGAATCTACAGAGAACAGTGAACGTTCTCCGTTCTCCTACAGCTGATTGATCCGTTAATGCGCCTCTTACTTACCACATTAAACATCCCAGAAATCTGCTGAAAGTGATTCGTCTAAATGGTAAAAAAAACTCTCAGATGATTAAAAAGCAGCAAGTTTTCACATCTGAGCAGCTAAGACCAGCCTGAAACACTAAAATATAAAAATAAATGTTTTTATTGCCAGTAGATCCATTTGTTTTGAAGTCAGGACCTCTGAGCCTCTGAAGCCTCTTAAACGTGACCTACGTGGACGTTGGGACGCTGCTCCGGCCTCCACAACAGCAACACTCAGATGTCTTCGCTCTTTTTGGGGCAGGAACTGCTTCAGATGTTGAACGTCTGCTGCTGTCTTCGGGGAGCAGCGGCTGAGAAAGTCCCACCACGAGGTCCTTTAGGCCGCTGCAGGGGAGCTTTCAGTTACACAACCTGAGCTTCATGTTGGGATTGTTCCAAAATCTGCTTCTTTAAAGGGTCACATGACAGGAAGTTGCACACGTGAGCTCAACTTGGTTCTTCGACCGGCGCGATGTGCACTTATTTATGGATTATTGAGTCCAGAATAATGCAAATTATTGCTGGAACAAGGTGGAGTTAAATATGCAACCCAGTCTGAGATGAAGCTCATGAGACAGGATCAAAAGCTCCAGAAAGGCTGCTAAATGGATGCATCTTCTCTGCTTTTGCTTCTGACACCACCAGAGGACTGGTACTGGAGGATCTTTATCATTATAGTTAAAGTCTGCTGCTGTCTCTGGTGAGAAAGTCCCACCATGAGGTCCTTCAGCAGAGCTTTCAGTTACACAACCTGAGCTTCATGTGGGCATATTTCCAAAATCTGCTTCTTTAAGGGGTCACAGTATGGAAATGAGGACATATAACTCCATGGAGCTGCTCCAGTTCACATTTCTGCACATTTTGTCTGAATTCCTGCTGACAAAGAGCATGAGACAGGATCAAAAGCTCCAGAAAGGCTTTTTGCATCTGACACCACCAGAGGACTGGTACTGGAGGACCGGAGGTGTTTATCTGGTCTCAGGGAGGATCCTTCATCAGGCTGAGGGAGGATGAAGCCGCCTGGCAGATGTTCAATATGTAATCGAACGCCACGGATCAATACGTCGCTCTGCACTGAGTCCTCTCATTCATCTCAGTGCAGCAGAGCAGCTCCGTGCAAGAGTTTCTACAAGAAGTGGGTGTCGGCCGTGCAGCTGGTTGTCAACAGGCAAGCCGTGCACGAGAGTGTGTGCACGTGTGTGTGTGTGTGTGTGTGCGTGCGTTACCTTCTGGTTTGTCACCACCATTCTTCTGATCCCCAGCTGACATTGGAGTTCAGGTTTCGGCCGCCCGGCCGCCCGACGAGACTCCTTTTCCCCGCGAGGCCGGCGCTGCTGAGGGCGTCCAGGGAGTCCAGGGGAGAGGAGGGTGAGGAGAGGTGAGACGGAGGTGAGACGGAGGTGAGGAGGAGGAGGAGGAAGAAGAAGAAGAAGAAGAAGAAGAAGAAAGAGTGGAGGAGAGAGGGCACATGTCCATTCTAGTGATCCCTCTTTCCCCTCACATACACTCTCTCTCCTGGACACATCCTCTGCCGAGAGGCCGGCAGGAAAGGGAGGGAAGCTGGAGGGGGGAGGAGGGGAGGGAGGCTAATGCTGGAGGAAGGGGGAGGCAGGGGGAGGGAGGCGTGGTGCGTTCAGGGGCCTCCGGAGAGAATGGAGGAGGCAGAAAATCAGCAACAACATCCAGAGTGACAGCAAGATGCTTGTTTTTACAGCTGGAGCTTCATCAGAGAGACAAACACACACTCTGTCTCCTCCTCCT